GTTGTCGGGGGTGTCAAGGGGAGGCGTGGTGTTTGGCCGGGGGGAGGGAGGGTTCGAGGACGAGTGGGGCAACCCCAACGCTCCGGTGGGCTCCCAGGGCAGGAAGTGAGGGGCGGGGTGCCAGTGACGTCTGGGGCGATGGGGCCTGTCTGTTTGTGTTTAAACCATCGGACACATATTTGAATTCCCATACACAACACTTCCCTTCACAATCATCTGGCATCCTGGCGCGCGCGCGCGCACACACACACACACACACACACACACACACACACACACACACACACACAAACACACGCACACACACATGCGCGCCCCCACCCACCTTGACCATGAGCCCGCCCATGCTGTGTGTGACGAACACCACCGGCCGCGCCCCCACCCCCGCGCGCAGCAGCTTGTCCAGCACCACCCGCGCCTTCTCGGGGACAGACAGCGACTCCCCCTCCCACCCGGTCACGGGGGCCTGCGGGGTAAGAGTGCGTGGATGCACATAGAGGAAGGGATTTGAGGACTTCTAGGATCCGTTGGCAATTTCGAGGGTTCAGGGATGGGGCGATAGGGGGCGTCGAGGGGCTCGGCAAAAGGTGCCAGGGGTTGCTGTACTGCTGCGCCGCGGCTTGGGTGGGGAAGATGCGGTGCGGCGGCTGCGCGGCGAGCGTGCTGCAGGCAATGCGTATGGCGACGATCTGCCGCTGGCGACGCGGCGTGCGCAAACAACGCCGCTAGCTGATCAAGGTCGAAGGCAGCCGTGTGAAAGGAGGACGCAACCTCACAGGCGCGCGGAAGAGAGAGGGAGCGAAAAAGGCAAACGGCGGTCTCACGTGGTACTCGATGCTCAGCAGCCGCGCCCCCGGCAGGTCCGGCGCCAGCCACGCCGCCGGCCAGCAGTCGCCGTGCGTCAGGTTGCGCCGCGCCGCGCCGCGCCCCAGCACGTCCCCCCGCCGCCACGTCACAAACGGCCCGCCCCGCACGCCGTGGATGAACACCACATCGTACTCCGGCAGCTGCGCGGCGGCTTCCTCCCTGTGCGGCTCCGGGCCGATCAGCGGCGGCGGCGGTGGGCGGCTGCAGGGCGGGGCGCCGTTGGCTTGTTCGCCCACGGGCGCCGCGTCGCCACTGCCGGTGGCGCCGTCAGGCGCCTGGTGAGTCAGGCCGGCGTCTTGCAGCGCCTCCTCGCCGCGCAGCGCTCTCGCCGCCGCCCTCGCGCCCGCCGCCGCGCCCGCCAGCGCGCGCGCGAGGTGCTGGCTGCGCGCGCGCCGCACCGCAGCCCCGTCGTCCTCCGCCATCGACCCCAGCACCGCGCCCGCGGCGCCCGCGGCGCCGCCGCCGCCGGGGCCCCCGCCAAAGTCGCTCTGCCCGAGATCCTCGGCGGCGTTTGCGAGCGCGGCGCTGGCCGCCGCGGTCAGCGACCCCATCAGGCTGGCCGGCTGCTGCCTCACCAGCGCCCAGTGGCGGGGGTCAGAAGGCACCAGAAGCTGCACCCCATCCGCATAGCTCACCACGGGCCGCCACGCCGCGCCGCCGCCCTTGCTACTGCCGCCGCCGCCGCCGCCGCCGGCGGCGGCTGCGTTATCTGAGTGGGAGCCGAACGGCCACAGCTCCTCGAAGATCGCCGCGATCTCCGCCGTCGCCTGCGCCCCCAGCGCGCTGAGCACGGCGGCGCCGGGCGGCGGCGCGGCGGCGCTGGCGGGGTGGTGGTGGAGGCAGGCCTCGAGGTGCAGCAGGGCGCAGGTGGCATAGCTGGAGAGCCTGTTGGTGTTGGGGTTGTTGAGGGTCCCGAGGATACGATTATCAAGGATGCGGTCATTGAAGGTCCCATTACCAGATGAATGGGTGCAAGGGGCCGGTTCGCGGGTGTCGGTTGTTAGCGGTTGGCTCTTCACCACCGCCGACATGCTGTGCCGCCAGGTACGCCCGTTGGCATACATCAAGCACTTGACAGGCCGAGGCGACTTGGTTTCAAAAACACCCCCCGCCGGACCCGCAAGCAGGAAAGGGCACAACACTACAGTCCGTGAAAGCAGCGGCCCCCCACCTGCAGTCGTCCGACGCCGCCGCGTCCCGAAGCCACCGCAGCCACGGCCCCTTTGCCACGTGCCCCGCCGGCCCCGGCAGCAGCGCCGCGCCGGACAGCAGCCGCGCCGCCTGCCGGCCCAGGCCCAACATCGCATCCTCAAAGCCGAGCGCCACCGCCGGCGGCGGCGCCTCTTCGGCTGCCGCGACCAGCTCAAGCCCCGACGCGAGCCCCTCCGCCGCCACGGCCGCCGCATCCTCGTCAGGCGCGCCGGCTGCACCCGCGTCGGCGCCAGCGGGGGGCGCGGCCGCCGCCGGCAGCGGGGCGCCCGGGTCCGGCGAGAGGGCGCGTGCTGAGAAGCTGCTTGCCCCGGGCAGATATGACCACCACGACCGCTGCTGCTCCTCCTCCTGCTGCTGCTGCTGCTGCCGCTGCTGCTGCTGCGGCTGCTGCTCCTTCTGCTGTCGCCCCTGCTTCAGCTCCTGCCGCAGCTCATGCTCGTCGCCCTCTTGGTCCCGCCGCCGCTGCGAGTCGTGCTGCTGCTGCATGTTTGACCCAGGCTCGCGCTGCTGCTTCTGCTGCCGCTGCTGCTGCAGAGCAATGGCGGCCCCGCCACTGCCTGCCGCGGCCGCAGCCGCCGCCGCTGCCGCGCGCGCGGCAGCACCACTGCCGCCCCCGCCGAGGCCGCCGGCGGCCGCGTCAGCACAGTCCCCAATCAGGCACAGGCGCTCCAGCATGGGCAGAACGCCTGCAGACCAGAGCCACTCCTGCCTCTCCGGATTGTCTGCAGCTATGGAGCAGAGGGCCTGGGGGTGGGGGTGCAGGGGCAAGCAAATTCAGAGCGTCTTGAGCTGATGCAGCGGGCATCAAGGGAGTGGCGCGCGGAGCGCTCAACACGCACACCCAGGGAGGAACACGCATGATTAAGCTGCGGCAGAAATGGGATGATTGGGGCGCTGGGGCTGAAGGAACTTGTCAGCCGCTTCGAACGTGGGCTGTTAGGGCGCGTGACAAGCGCCCCCCCCCCTGCCCCGCCCACGGCCTACCTCCATCGCGCCGCAGGCCGCGCGCTGCGCCAGCGCAGCGTCGACTGCGCGCGCCGCCGCCGGATACGCCTCCAGCACCGCCGGCGTGAACAGCCCCGGCTGCAGGTCGGCCGGCAGCGCCAGTGCCGCGCCGCCCCGCCAGCTGCGCGCGGCGGCCGCGGCCGCGGCGCGCAGCTCGGACGCCGCCGCGGCGGCCTGGGCCGCGGTCACTGGACCGGTGTTGCGGAGGGTCCCCAGGTCAAGGCCGTCCCGCACCGCCTGCTGCTGCTGCAATTCCAAGTACGGGTCCCTGACAGCCGGCTGCTGCTGCGCCGGCTGCTGCGGCTCGGCGCGGCCCCACCATTGATACCACCTGCCCCCCTTCTGCTGCTGCTGCTGCTGCTGCTGCTGCTGCTGCTGCTGCTCGCTGGTCTGCGGCTCCGACGGCGCCGCTGTGGCGCCGCCCGCCGCGCGGCCGACGGCAGCGGCGGCGGCAGGCGGCGGGGCGGCCTGGGGGCCGAGGCCGGCGCCGAGGTGCGCCAGCAGCTGCGCCAGCCACAGGTGCGCCACATGCAGCCCCTCGTGCCCCTCCTGGCGCGCCAAGGCTGCGTTGGTGGTTCAGGGGGGGGGGGGCATGGTGTGCATCCGAGGGAGCCCAGCGTCCCATGCAAAGAGGGACGGGCACTGACTGAGCTGCAGCTACACCTCGCTGGTCTGTACACATGCCTCACATTCAAACAGGCACGTAAGAAAGCCTTCCTCATGCATCCGTTCGGCCGTGATCAGCTGACCCTCTGACTTTGGGTGTTTGTTGGCACACACCACGCACCTGTCAGGCCGGAGACGCAAGCCTTTCGCAGCTCCGCCGCGCCCGCGTCCGCACGCCGCTCCTCTGCCCGCCGCGCCCCCGCGCCGCGCCGCCACCACCCCAGCCCCGGCAGCCACCCCGCCGCCGCCCGCCCGCCGCCCTCGCGGCCACCCTCCTCGCCCCCTCGCGCCGCAGCGCCGTCGCCGCCAGCGGCGCCCGCCGTCCCGGGCAACGCGTCCCCCTCCACCAGCCACCCAAGCAGCCTGTCCCTCCACGCCGCGCGGTCGCCCTCTGACGTCATCAGCCCCGCCCCCAGCAGCGGCGCCAGCGCCGCCACCGCGCGCGCGCGCAGCTTCGGGTCCCGCGCCGCCGCGAGCGCCTCGATCGTCGGCAGCAGGTGCAGCTGCCTCAGTGCGCCCCGCACGAGCGGCCCGCCGACGCGCGCCGCGTGGACGAGCGTCTGCATGGCGGCATCTGCCAACTCGAGATCCCCAGCCGCAGCCGCGTCGGCGGCGATGAAGAGCACCGGCTGCGCCCAGCCCGCCCGGTCAGCGTCTGTTGTGGCGGCCGCGTCGACCTCCATCAGCCGGACCACGCGGCACAGCGCAACCCGCAGGTCGCGCGCGCCCTCCGCCTCGCCGCGCGCGACGGCGGCGGTCGCGGCGGCGGCGAGCGCGGGGTTGAGGCCGGCGGCGGC